TTACCTAGTTGGGTAATGAAACATCTGCAAGCAAACAGCCAAGCTCAGAGAGCACCAAGGAGTCCCACACAACACAATTGCTTGCTGTAGTTCTTTTCGACGTTTATTTCTTGCCCAGCTCCGAGGATTCCTGTACTGGACAGGAGGTTGGACTAGGAGACCTTCAGGTCCCTTTCAACTCTATGGGGACGAACACTCAACTCCTGCAGAATCCTTTGGTGCTAGAGAAATGTTTGGCTCTGAACCTTTGAATGGGGGAAGTGACATGAAGCCAGGTCTGTTGTTTTGAGCTTCATGGTGGGAGACGCAGGAAAAACATAAGTAAAGCAAAAATGCCTCCTCCCCCCAATTTTTCAGTTGAAACTGTGGTTAAGTCTGTCCATGTGTTGTGAGATTAAGGCATTTTCATTGTATCTTCTGACTGCTAGTTGGTGTTCATGGACACGCTCTGCTAGCCTTCTGCCTGTCTGTCCTATGTAGTGGCTGTTACAGTCCTTACACTGTATGTTGATGTACTGTATATAAACTACTGTATATTACTCCACCGTAGAGTCATACTGTAGTATGAATCTACTGTACTGACTCTACTGTAGATAATAGATGACTCCACTGTACATATAGTACTAGATGACTCTACTATAATTAATGTGTGTGTGCGCGCGTGCACGCGTGCCTTCAGATCAGTGTTGACTCCCGGCAACTGCCTGGACCAGTCCCTGCAGTTTTCTTGGCATCATTTTCAGAAACGGCTTGCCATTACCTTCTTCATAGGGCTAAGAGAGAGTGACTGGCCTAAGGTCAGCTGGCTCTGGAGAACTCACAGCCTCCTGCTTTCTATCCCAGTGCCTTAACCACTACACCAAACTGGCTCTCAACTATGTTAGACTCTACATTTAATACATAGATGTGATGGAATGGACTTATGAAGGCCAGGCTCAGGGAGATAAGCGTGTTCTTAGCCCCCAACAGGAGCGTGGGAAGTTCAAGAAGATGAGGCTGGCACCTCCCTAAGGAATTCACAGTGTTGTGGCTGGCTGGCTTGGGAACTAGGATTCAGCCTGGGGAGATTTCTGTCTGGAGGTTGAAGCTAATAAACGGAACAGAGCTGTATTTGCATTGTCTCTTGGAGTTCTTTGGGCTGAACCTGACATCAATCCCCCCAGACTAAGCCTAGTTCCAAAGCCAGCCGGCCAGCCACAACACCATGAATTCCTTAGGGAGGTGCCAGCCTCATCTTCTTGAACTTCCCACGCTCCTGTTGGGGGCTAAGAACACGCTTATCTCCCTGAGCCTGGCCTTAATAAGTCCATTCCATCACAATAGATGACTCTACTGTATTAAATGTAGAGTCTAACATAGTTGAGAGCCAGTTTG